ATGCTAGAGACATTGGAGAGCTTGGAACTGGTCTTGGTAAATACTGGATTCAAGAAGAGAGATGAACATCTAACAACATACCGAAGTGGAGATAACAGTTCCCAGATCGACTTCCTAATGGTGAGGAAGAGAACCCGTAAAAACGTGAGAGATGCAAAAGTGATTCCCGGTGAGGCAGTTGCTCACCAGCACAGACTGCTGGTCATGGACGGGACGTTTGCTAAGAAAAGGAAAGGAGAAACAACAGGAAAGAAGCTGCAGAAGATCAAGGTGTGGAAACTACGGGAATGTGCAGGAGGATACAGAAGGCACGTGGGAGAGAGACTGAAGAGAGTGAAGAGAGAGACAGCAACCGAAATGTGGAAGACCTTAAAGGAAGCAACGGTGGAAGTGGCAGAAAAGCTGTGTGGAAAAACAAGTGGAAGAGGAGCAGGAGAACGAGAAACATGGTGGTGGACGGAAGAGGTGCGGGAGAAAATCAAGGAAAAGAAAACTTTCAAGGAGTGGCAGGATGACCAGGAGAGCCTGGAGAAAAGGAACCGGTACAAAGGGACGAAGAGAGAGACAAAAAGGGCTGTGGTTGTGGCCAAAGAGGAAGCAGTTCGAGACTGGTACGCAGAAATGGAAACACCAGACAGAGAAAAGAGAATTTATAAAGTGGCCTAGCAGCATGCAAAAGCAAAGAGAGACATCCCAAAAGTGACTATGGTGAAGAGTGAGGACGGACGGATTCTGACAGAGAAGGAAGAAGTGCTAAGGAGATGAAGAGAATATTTTGAATATTGTTGAATGTAGAGAACGAAGGGGAAGAGCTAACAGAATTACCAGCAGTAGAAGGTCCGATACAGCAAGTACGCCTGCAGGAGGTATCAGCCGTCCTCAAGATGAAGAACAAGTCACCAGGCACATCGGAGGTGGTGGTATAGATGTTGGATGCCTTGGGGAGTGAAGGTGCGATGTGGACCCACGAGATCTGGAGAGAACATCCCAGAAGATTGGAGGACAAGTATACTAGTGCCAGTGTATAAACAGAAAAGCGATGTATTAGAATGTGGGAACCACCGTGGTATCAAGCTCTTGGAACACCTCTTGAAAGTTGAGGAAAAGATCCTGGACGAGAAGATCCGAGTAGTGGTGAATATAGGAAACATGCAGTTTGGCTTTAGACCGGGGAGAGGCACGGCTGATGCTGTATTTATAATCAGGCAGCTCCAAGAGAAATATCTAGAAGGCGACAAGAACCTATACCATGCCTTTGTTGACTTGGAAACGACATATGATAGGGTGCCCAGAGAGCTGGTCTACTGGTGTCTACGGAAGAAAGGAGTTCCAGAGTACCTCATTAACATCGTGAAGGATACCTACGAAAGTGTAACCACAATGGTCAGAACGCCACAGGAAGACAAAGAAAGAGGTGGCTGGATTGTGTGATGGCCGACATAAAGAAAAGGAACATCGAAGATGTATGTGGAAAGTGACAACCCCTAAATAAGGGAAACGTAGAAGATATATTGTGTATATATACATATATATATATATATATATATATATATATATATATATATATATATAATGTAAATATATGTGTATATATGTATATGTATGTATATATATATATATATATATATATATATATATATATATATATATATATATATATATATATATATATATATGTATGTATATATATACATATATATATATATATATATATATATATATATATATATATATATATATATATATATATATATATGTATATATATAATATATACATATATATATATATATATATATATATATATATATATATATATATATATACAATATACATATATACATATACATATATACATATATATAAGCATATATATATTCATACATATATATATATAAACACACACACACACACACACATATATATATACATATATATATATATATATATATATATATATATATATATATATATATATATATATGTGTGTGTGTGTGTGTGTGTGTGTGTGTGTGTGTGTGTTTATTAGTTTCTATATGTGTATATATATGCTTATATATATTTATATATCCATATATATAAATATATATGTATGTGATATATATATATATATATATATATATATATATATATATAGATAGATAGATAGATAGATAGATAGATAGATAGATGTATGTGTGTGTTGTGCGTATATGCATGTATATGTATATGCATAGATATGTATGTGTATGTATATGTATGTATGTGTGTATTTATATATATAAATATATAGATAGATTTATTTATTTATACGCACGTGTATAAATGATCCGTCATTTGGAAGGATTAACTACTATCCTGCAGGACGTGGACCAAGGGACAAAGCGGTGAAGACTGGTGATCATAGGTGGAAAGTCCTGCCATGAGCGCACTTGTGTTAATTAATATGTGCGTTTTCTCCGGAAAGAAGAAAGAGGAATCTACTGCAAAAGACTTTCGAGGTCGTTGCCGGATGCATCTGATCCGTAGTGGATGGGATATAACCCACTAGTCACGGAAGCTCAGGCTAGGACACATCCCTTGATAGCAGCAGCACTGACTTAATACGATATGTGCGTATTTAGCAGCCATCTCCTCCCTGGAGGAATTTTAGTATTCTTTTATCTTTTACTTTTTAAGCTTCATTTAATGGCCTCGATTTTACTATCAATAGTTTTTAATACTTTGATTAAGATTCACTTTCATTTTAATCAATTTTATTTCAAAACATTTTTACAAGACACACGAAGAAATACAAACCATAGTCTTGCCGCCATACTCTCTTAGGTTGTTTGCTCGTCTGATCAGTGTGGTTCACGAAACGCCTTGGCATCACTGGACATCCTCCTCTATTTTTTTAAAGATAAGTATATTTTCATTGTTTGCTAGAGCCCAGTTAGGATGTGATAAATGATTGCAACTTTTAAGAATATACAGACTGAGGGATCTCAGGTTTTCCTTTGAATGTTTTGTTTCCGTTTTATTCTTAAGTTCGTTCTTTTGCTTCTTATTTTTATTTCTTTTCAATTTATTTTAAAGAAGTAAATGGTCATCCTGTTCGGTCATATTTTACAAGACCGGCGTTGAGGTACACTACAACGTAAAATGGTGGCAGACCGCGGTTGGGATCTGCCAATTGCATGCAGTTAGCAATACTATGAACTTAAATAGAGACTAAGGTTTACTACTCTTTTTACTAAGGTTTTGCTCAATTAATGATGTTTTTTTTTCTTTTATCTTGATGTTCGTATTCTTCCTGCTTGATATATAAATGCTTTTGATTTTTTGTATTGTGCAGTGAATTAGTGCTTTTACTTTTAAGTACTAAATTTATTTTTTTCTAGCAATATAAGTGTTTTATTTTCCGTGTTTTAAGTGTTTTACATTTGATAAAGTTTTTTTTTTCTTTTTAATGCTTAATGACTTGCTATGTGTACCGAAATACGAGTTTGTGCATACACTTTAAACCTATGTTAACGAATGTGCCAGTAATCGCCATTTCCTAAGTTAAAGCACTACAGTGTTTGTGGCGCGGTGAGAATTTAAAATGTGAACCCGATAACAGTGCTTGTGCCTAATGTCATGTTCATATGTGTGATCGTGTTTGTGTTCATAATTACAAAGTACGTGGCGGTGTCAGTGGTTGTTTGTGCCCATCGTGTGGTGATATCTGAGCGCGCACATAACCGGTGATAATGCTTGTATTTGTTAGAAGTGTTCGTGCTTAATTACAGATTGTACATACGTATACAACTGATCGTGCTGACGGTAGTTTCGTACCCACTAACTTGTAAAGCTGTACGAATGGTACATCATTGTATTGCGTACGTAATTAGTGATGAAGCATTCGATGTAATTACATGGAAAGTACGTGCGTGTGAGTTGACTAGTAGTCGTGCCCGTGCTGTGTAGCCATGCTTTGAAATTATGCTTGCCGTAGTGACTTATTTACGTGCATTCATGTGATAACCATATCTTCTTACTGTCTACCGTGCTTAATGTGAAATGTACACTGTGCGTGTTGTAACTGCACTTTCTTATTTTGTCTACCGTCATTAATACAGAGAATTGTTTATGTGCATAGTGGAGAGTAATAACTGTGCCTATATTAACATTGATTAACATTACAGTGATGTAGGTGCTTTCATTATAAAGGTACTGGAGGTGAGACGCAATAAGTTATGTTTTTACAGTTTAGACGTTACTCGCCGAGATGGTGAGGGGAAGAGACGATAAGGCGGGGAGCCCAATGCAGGTGGAAACAGAA